CTACAGAGGCTTTATAAAGTGCTAGTGGTTGTGAGTGGTGGTTCAGTCCATGTTATTATTGTGTGTTTGAGGGTACAGTTGTCCATTGTGGGTGTGTGTATGTTCAGTCCATGAGTTTAATGTGGGTCAGATGTCAGGAGGCAGAGTTCAGGAGTCTGACAGCTGTGGGGAAGAAGCTGTTCCGGTACCTGGTGGTCTTAGTCCGGAGGCTCCTGTAGCGCCTCCCAGAGGGCAGGAGGGGTGAAGAGTCCATGTGATGGGTGACTGGGGTCTTTGATGATTTTCCCAGCCCTTTTCAGACACCGCTTCCTGTAGATGTCTTTTATGGCAGGAAGTGGTGCTCCGGCGATGCGCTGGGCAGTTTTCACGACCCTCTGCAACGCCTTCCGGTCCGAGGCAGAGCAGTTCCCGTACCAGACTGTTATACAGTTGGTCAGGATGCTCTCGATGGTGCAGCGATAGAAGTTCACCAGGATGTCTGAGGACAGGTGGTTCTTCCTCAGAGTCCTCAAGAAGAAGAGGCGCTGGTTAGAGTTCTTGACCAGCTTGGAGCAGTTGGTCGTCCAGATCAGATCCTCGGAGATGTGGACTCCCAGGAACTTGAAGCTGCTCACACGCTCCACAGCCGTCCCCTTAATGTAGGTGGGCGGATGTGGGTCAGCATTCCTCCTGTAGTCCACGATGAGCTCCTTGGTCTTCTCGGTGTTAAGCAGCAGGTTGTTTGTGTCGCACCACTCACCCAGACGATCCACCTCCTCCCTGTAGGTCACCGTGGTGTCATCTGCAAACTTAATGATGGTGTTAGAACCACCGGCAGGTCTGCAGTCGTGGGTGAAGAGGGAGTAGAGGAAAGGGCTCATCACACAGCCTTGTGGTACACCGGTGTTCATTGTGATGGTAGATGAGCAGTGGTTATCCAGCCGGACATGTTGGGGGCGGTTGGTCAGGAAGTCCAGTAACCATTTGCAGATGAGGGAACTGATACCCAGGTCTGTCAGTTTCCTGATGAGTTGTGAGGGGTGGATTGTATTGAATGCTGAACTGAAGTCTATAAACAGCATTCTGGCGTAGGTGTTGTTGTTGTCCAGGTGTGAGAGGACAGAGTGCAGTGCGATGGAGACTGCATCCTCTGTGCTCCTGTTCTGGCGGTATGCGAATTGGTGGGGGTCCAGGGTGGGGGGAGACAGGATTTGAAGTGTGCTAGGACCAGCTGCTCTAAGCACTGGTCCTATCAGCCTTTCACTAAAATATCACCCACTCTCCAGCTCAGTACAGATTCAACAGTTAATGGGTGTGGTGAGGCATGGTCGGCGATGCCGTGCGGACGCACCTGCACGTCATCTGCAATCACGCCCGCCGTGGTAAAACACAGGGGAGCAGGGGTCTGCTCCGGCCGGAGGAAGAGGAGTGGCTGATCGAGCCGGGAGCGGCGGCGGTGACAGAGGAGACGGAGGTCCCAGAGCCAGGGGAGCCTGCTCGATTGGAGCTGGCGTGCACCAAGCTTGAGATCGGCGTGCTCGCCAGACCAGCCTCACATCCACCAGAGGCCAGTGCATGCCGGACATCTGCACAGGTCCCTGTGAGCAGGGGCTCACGACCATGCCCGCGGGGTTGTGCCAGCTTGCCAGAAGAGACACAGTCCTGTCACCGGGTTGGAAACTGGTTGGGGGAGTAGGTCTGGCCGGATGGCTCCCTGGCCTCAATCAGGCGATGGGGGTGCGTGGTGAGGCGTTGTCGGTGATGTCGTGCAGACGCACCTGCACGGCATCTGCAATCACACCCGGCGTGGTAAAACCGGGGGAGCAGGGGTTGTGTGTTGTAAGTTGTGGTGTGATGTGCGGCTGGCAGCTTAAGAGCTGCAGCTGATGACAATAAATGGCTCTAAATGATGATCTGTGGTCCCGCCGTGCCTTATTCACACCACAATGGGATTGACAGAAAACTCTCAAAGCTTTTGCTAAAAAAAAAACAACAAGGAGGAAGAGGAGACATTTACACTGAGATCTGAGCTTCTGGAGGGCATGTATTACTATGGCACAGAGAATCACTCATGGTTCAGCTGTACTTGCCCCTGAGAGGATGCTAATCAGACCGTGAGGACTTTAGAAGAACCGCCTGTGAGGAAGAAACATCAAGCTGCTCTTTTTCCTTTAAAAAAACAAAAGAAAGCAGAAGACCCTTTTGTAAGAAGGGATCACGTCTGTCGACCTTATTGTTGTTCAACCCCCCACAAAAAACCTCTCTCCAATCATTTGGTAAGCACCGATTTAAGTGCTGTTGACTCACCTGATTGTTAAGGATGACAATTATGTTTATTTATGTCCACTTAATGAATATGTCCAGTGCTGGAGAGCTTAACATGGTCAGTATTGAGTGGACAGACTGGCCATAAAAATGGTCTACCAAGGCAAATAAAGATGGAGTGAAGAGCAGAAGAGCAGAAGAGGTTATTAGGCAGAGAATTGAGGTTATCATATTGGGCTTTGAGAGCTGTTGGGCGCTATTGTTAAATGAATGTCTTGCTGCTTAGAGGAAGAGGCGTCTCTGGTGTTCAGGACTCAGCTCGTACCAGCTATTGATTACAGCCAGTGAGCAAAAGCTCCACGTGATCGCAGAAACAAAATAAAATCACTCGTCTTCGTCTAGCTCCCCATGTCTGCACTGTCAGCACAGTAGGACAAATCAAGCCTCATTTCCATCCCTTCAGAAGCTGCCACTTACCCACTTGGTGCCATTCATTTTGGTACAAGGCGAGAAATAGCTTTCCCACTCTCAAAAAGTGCTCATGACTCTTTGTCACAACAAACATAGCGACTGAATTTTTGGTCGCTCTTATCCAGTTTCACTACACTGGGCTCTGCTCTGCCACAACAATATTTCTCACATGTGACATTTTTACAAGAATGACAAACTAAACTTACACAAGTGTGCAGGAGACAGTATTATCTCTCAATATAATAAGGTAACTGAAAGAACTGCTGCTGGCTGGAATGAAATCATTTATTTTGACATAACTACAGAAAAATCATACATGCTTTCCATAGATGATTTCTGTGTCAGTTTAGAAATGATTGAGCATGACTGTTTGATATATCATCAAACTGGGTCACAGCTGTTGCTAAAGTGTCTTATTTTGATGACCTAATTGAGAAACATTCGTCGATGTTTAAATCACCTCAAAGTTTATCCCTTACTACTCTAATTAGTCTTGACAGCGAACTGACCTGTTTTTATCGGCCCGCTTCATGTCAGTTTAAATGAGGTAACAACCTGAACCTCGACTGTAAGCGCTGAAAGGTGTGCTGAAACCCCACTTGAATTATGGAATGGTGAAAAAAGCAATATGAAAATTTACAAACTCCCAAATGTTGCATCAGAAAGTATACATGAGAGCGCTCTCATTGAAATTCAGATTGCGCTTTCTGAAGCACGTATATATTTACCTCATTTTAGTATGTAAGTATAGGTCCATTCAAACTTGTATATCCACCAGTTTACTACAGTCAAGTGTTATTTGTACTAAGAGTGAGTCTAAAAGAAGCCAAATGCACGAGACCATCACAAAACACATCTTGTTAAAATGCACCGTGCAGCTGGGAGTCAGTTTTGGATTTATTAAGGACAAAAATGAGCCAAGCAGAAGCTGATGCACATTTTTATTTATTCCAGCATCTTTGTACTCTGCACCATTGTCATGTTGATGTCAAACTGTCAGTCGTGTCTATCGTCTACTCTGTTACATATTTGTACACATACTTGGTCAGTTCAGTCTTTAAGTGATGACGTGATGAATCCTGCTTCCAGGTCCAAACTACTCTGCGTTTGTTAAGACTTGTGTTTCTAACATGTTTAAGTGCTTTGTATCTTGTTCTATTTAATCTGAAAAAGCCCCTAAAAACAGTCAATGATCACTGTCACCTCCCTCAGTTTTTATCATCATTGTTCATTTTAAAGCTCTGTTTTTAAACCCTTACGATGTAACTACAGCCCAGCCCATGCAACAGTATATGAATGACTAACCTCGTATTGTGGATGGATTATCTCAGTTGTTCTCCTGACTGAAGTTTGGTCTGTTTACAGCATCCTGCCATGCGATTGCATTTGTCTCTAACCATCAGGAACCCTCACGTTAACTTTTATCGAGTGGAAAGAAGTTAGCGTTCATCCTCCAGCTTCACTGTGTTTATGTTATGCTAACATAGCTGTGTAGCTAGCGATCACGTGGCACATCATTATATACCAGCTAGCCCAACTTCAGTAACGCTACAAACGTCACTGCTGTTTAGTTTTCTGTCTTCATTTATGTTGGAAGTGATAGCAGAGCTGTACGTTTGAACTTTTCTAGAAATCTCTCAGTCAGAACATGCTATATCATGCTTAGGTGGAAACTAGCGAGCTAACTTCCTGCTAACTTCTAACTCTGTTAAATTTAATAAATTCTGTTTTCATGGATGCCTGGATGTTAAACTTAATTGTTGCACCTGGTAAAGCAGCAACGCTGATCATTTTATTAAAAATGAAAGAATTTAGACAGTTTTTAACTCTGAGTGATGCTGCAGTGTTTGTTTGACCTGACGTGGAGTTTGGACCCAGAAAGGGCTAATGACGTCAGACGTAAAGACCGGATACAGCCTATTCTGATTCCAATTCTTCATCATCAAAACCATAAGTGGAAAAACCTGCCTGAAACCAAGTGCAGAGTATACAGAAGAAGAATATTATTTGATCAGTGCATTTTGGTTCATGACTTTCATTGGGTTCATCAGCAGCAGATTTCACTTTACAATGCCTGCTTATACCACTTAACAAGTGCTAATTTACTCAGGTGTCCTAAAGTGTTAAAGTAAAAGCAAATCTTAAAATGTGGTTTGAATGATAGCACACATGCTGTCCCTTGAGTTTTCAGTCTGCACTTTCTTTTTCTTCACTCTCTCTTCTTTCCAGACAGAATTTCAGTCATTAAAATATTTATTTGTTGTTGTTATTTCTTGTTTTTCTAGAGAGCCCATTGACATTTGCAGCTCACCTGGACAATGCGGGGGAGATCATAAAGGTGCTGAAGAATGGAGGAGCTCATTTGGACTTCAGGGCAAAAGATGGCATGACTGCTCTTCACAAAGCTGCAAGGTCGAAGAACCAGATTATACTCACGGTGAAGGTTCCTCTCCTTTCATTTGTTTAGCACTTGCTTATTTGTGCATTGCTGGCTTTCTTTGTGTTAGAAGCCCAATGAAAGTCTGACAGCTGATAGATCATGCTCGAAGATGTTTTGCTGCAACGTAACCGACATGCATTCTTAATGCATGCAGACCTGTCATTTCACAGCATGTTGAGCTGATTAAGGGATGATGCCTCTAACTGTTTGTACTCGTGAAGTGAAGGCTATAGGTGAGTGTAGACAAGACTTCTGCAAGAGAAACAAAATGTGTTTTATCGTTGAAATCTCACAATGGACAGTCAGTTTCATAATGGTATGTGTGTGTGTGTCATGTGCACATGCATCAGCTTTTATATCAGCTTTTAACAGCTTTGAGTCTGTAAAAATATTTTGATTATAAATTTATGTAAATGTTAAAGAAACTTGGTTCCAGAAAACTGTTTTAGTGACTCCTGTGACTTTAGGTGAACTGAAATATCACTCACATTTGCACACAGCACGTGTGCAGGTTTGCGAGCTCTTTGCAAAGAAAGAATCACAGCTTATCTGCTTTATACTAATGTAGCAGCTACCTGTCTAACTTTCTTACCTGTCCATCCTTAGACGCTGCTAGAATTGGGAGCTTCTCCAGACTACAAGGACAGCCGGGGTCTGACTCCCCTGTATCACAGTGTGGTGGTGGGTGGGGACCCAGGCTGCTGCGAGCTTCTACTGAACCACCACGCTTCTGTGTGTTGCCAAGACGAGAACGGCTGGCATGAAGTTCACCAGGTACGACCCTGTGCACGACGTGCACCTCTAGACACGCACATAAAAATAGATTTAAAAAAATTTCCTCTGTGGTTATTTGGAACAGCTTGTATTAGTAAGGCACGCACACACATAGCCTTTCTCCGGCTGTGGGCGACTGTCTTGGCAGCTGTTACCCGTTGAAGTAGATAAAGGCATTTAAAGAGAGCCACTCTGCAGCAGTAACAAACTGTGAGCATCTCCACAAAGCGTGTGTGAGGTTGCGTTCAAGCCATCTGCTTTATCAGATTCCTTACATCTCGTTATCCTTGTGGAGCTGTCAAAAACTCTGCCCTCCCCCAACTGTCCCATTTCAGACATGATAACACTCTGCTGTCAATTAACAATTACATGTATAGGATGGCTGATGGTGGCTCAGACTGTAAAGTTTTCTTTACTAATCCATAAAATTCTGGAAAATGCCATCAAGGAACGTAACGAATACCATACGCTGGTATGTTTCATGCTAACAGGCAAACAAAGCACTGAGCGTTAGTAATGTAACAAACTTCATGGACACAAGAATGTTATCCCTTCACTGGACAGTAATGGCTTTATTGTATTGTTGGCGCTTGACAGATTAATTGATCTTGAAATGAATTGTATTGGTCTCTGAGAAGAAATTATTTTATTTTATAGTTCTATCCCAAAAGAACCACCAAGAAGCCAATTATTATCTCTTCACATAAAGATCATTTTTTATCACATAATTTAACTTCAGCATAATAATAATAACACAATAATAACACAAGCCTATTGGGGAGATATTAAAGCTTTATGTTACATTTCTTGTAGACCAGTTCTTGGTACTTGGCAGAGAAATGCTTTTTTGATAGTTATTTTGAAGCAACTTTTATTTGTCCAAGTTGCATTAAAACAATGATCAGTCAGTTACACAGTTAAAAGTTTTCCTCGATTCATCCCAGAATAAGAAAGAATAAAAAGTAAAATAAACAAACTCCCCTTTCCCCTGAGAACTAATGTTTATATTACCATCTTTTGAATTTGATAGATAGATTTCAAGTAGGTTATCTTTGAAAGGGTCTGTGTTGGCCGTGCTCATCCTAAGAGCCAGCTCCAGGACTGCCTCCGGTCCTGGATGAGCGATGCCATCAGGTCCATCAGGAAGTAGGGTTTGATTGTTCTTAGACGTGAGACCGGCTCCTTCTCATGGAAGAGAAGCACCCTGTTGGCGTAGTTGGAGGCTTTCTCTATCTGCTCCACCGCTCACCTTCAGGGTGTACAGTATGGTGGCCCGGTGGTTAGTACTGTTGCCTCACAGCAAAAAGCTCCTGACTTTCACTCTACCATCTCTACCTTTCTGTGTGAAGTTTCCATGAGTTCTCTCTGGTACTCCAGCTTCCTCCCACAGTCCAGAGGGTCAAAGTACAGGGACTGACATTCATATGGAAATAGATTCAGGATTGGAGTGACCATCACCTGCCTTCTGTATATGGATGACATCAAACTGTATGCCGGGAGTGGGCAAGACATCAACTCACTGATCCATGAGCATTGGCCAAATGGTTGCAAATATAGGGAAAGTGATCTGGACTGAATATATGGAGATACCAGAAGGCAGGATAGTGGACAAAGAGAACAGTTATAAGTAGCTGAGTGTCCCACAGACCAATGGGAAGCATGATGAAGATGGACGGTCAGCCATAGCCAAATACCCACAAAAGCTAAGATAGATGCCAAGAAGGAAGCTCAAACAATAGGAATAAAATCTCCCCCCAAGATAAGCTGCTCAAAGTGTACATCACACAGCTGAAGACAAATTGTGATGTGAAATAGAAGTGGGAAGCACAGAGGCCCTGATCATGGCAGCATGAGAACAGGCCCCAAGCACCAGATCCAGAGAGGCAGGAGTCTGCCTACAGTCTGTCTCTAAGTGCATGGAGGCAACTGTTGTTGTAATTTGGTGCTAAATAAATGAAATTGAATTGAATTACCACAGCTGACAGACCCAAGTTCAGGCTGTGCAAAGGTGCCACAGAGAGTATTCAGCAAATAGTAGTAGGATGTAATCTGCCTCTCAGCGTTCACTGGGAGGAACAATCAAGTGGATGCAAAAGTGCACCGGAACATCTGCGGCACATGTGGATTAGGATATCCCCAATTCCTGATAGGAGACACCACCAAAGATGGTTGAGAACAGCGGGGCTAAGATCCTGTGGGACCCCAGACAGAAGAGGAGCTGCTGGCAAACCAGTCAAACACAGTGGCAGCTGACAAGGAGCAGAAGATAGAATTTGCAATAGATGTGACAACCCAGCAGACATTACACAGCAGCATCAGAATGAAGAAGCACTGGAAAAAAGTCAAGTACCAGGAGCTGAAGTAACATCAGGAGCAGTTGGTAATAGGAGTGTTTTTGAGCCATAACCCCCAAAGAGTGGCTCCAGCCTAATGCAGGCCCAGTATCTGTGTGTGTGTGTGTGTGTGTGTGTGTCATTCTGAATAAGGCCACTCTACATAGTGACTACTTTAGGTAATGTAAGTATGTTATGATGGTAAAACTTGTAATATTAGGATTCTTCACTTAGCAAAACATTTAATACAGAAATATGTTCATGAGCTTGTTTAGTGCCAGATTTCATATGAGATCTCAGGGCTGGAGTCCCCAATGCTTCCCAGACCATTTTCCTTATTGTATTTGTTGGATTTCCCATGAGTGTTGGCTCCTGTGTCAAGTCTTTATTCAAAACAAATTTGGTGAATTTTGAAACAATTTTTCAAAATTCTGAACACGTGCACAGGACCACGTGCTCTAGGCTTTTCAATATTATATGTTACAAAAACGACAAAAAGATGAGCTCAGTGAAAGGGTTTAGATGCGTGATACTGAATACTGTAATAATGAATTTCTTTTCACTGTAACATGCTTTAGTTGATGAGCAGTTATTGATCTTCTCCTCTGACAGACCCATCAGTCTCTCAAAGAAGCTCCAGAGTAAATAGGCCTTTTCACAATAAGCTCTTCCTCACACAATAACTGGCACCCGTCACTATAACTCCTAACTTCACTGATATTGACGAGGAAATTGGTTTATGAGCGCAGTAACTTCCTCCTCAGTCTGTTTTTTAACACCAGATGGCTTCATTTGTACATTCTGTTGCATTTTGATTTGCTATCGGATTTATTTAAGCCTTCGTCCTCTCATCCTATCCTTCCATCTTTTCATGACTGGGTTCAAACTGAGGGTACAGCTGCGTCTCATTTTGATGTTATCTCCTTTGCAGCACACTGACATCTAGTGTTGGAGGCATTTTACTGCAACTTCTCTCGAGTGGAAGCGTCAATTGACTTTTTTGTGTATGTGCAGGCTTGTCGTCATGGCCATGTGCAGCACCTGGAGCATCTGTTGTTCTATGGAGCAGACATGGGCGCCCAGAATGCCTCGGGAAATGCTGCTCTACACATCTGTGCCCTATACAACCAGGTGAGCCGTGGGCGATTACATATGTTGACAGTTCATGAACTGGAGCTCTATTAGGGTTAATGTAGATTTAATATTGATTTCTTATTCAAATCCATTTTCAGGGTATTTTTTTGGCATTTTAACATTTTTGCCACTCTGAGTGTCTTATTCATACGTGCAGGCACACAGTGCCGTAAAAACATTTTTGCCCCGTTCCTGATTTTTAATATTAGTCAGAGATAGCCTATGCAAATAGGTGTGAAATGATGATTTCATTTATTAAGGGAAAAAACTTTCCAAACCTCTTTCCCTGTGTGAAACAGTAAAGGAGTGATTTGGCCAGAATCCACACATTAGGTGTGACTCACTCACAGACAGTATGCTCTCATCACAGTTTCTATAACAGGCACATCAGAGGCACAAGTAAATGTGTACGTGCACCCTCTAGATCAGAGACAAAGTTGTGGTGAAAGAGAGAGGAAGTGCAATATTTAAATGCACCTAAATGCTGCAAAATTTGCGGCATTTGCAAATTTGCAAAGATTTGCAGCTAAACCATCAGTCGTCTATTTTGCATGGGTTACTTTTGCTTTATGCCTGGCGTCTCCATTTGTGTTAAATTTGTGAGTAAAAATTGTGTTTCCAGCCAAAGACACAATCCTTTGGGATTGCATCAGGGATGGTATCTGGTGTAAAACTCTAGCTTTTATACTAGAAGTAGTAGCTTCTGAATTTAGCTGTGTGCTAATAAAAACAATCATTTGAAAGTTTGAGCTTACTCTGTGTCTTATTCTCTGCTTAAAACATGTAGGTTAATTATTTTATATACACACATTGAGTGTGTATTTTGTGTGTTCTGTGGTTGGTATATTCCTGGTGCTACACCTACAGCCTGGCTTATTTTGAAATCCATCTGCTATTCAGATTGGTTGATCCCACATTTTTGTGGTTTGTGAATCTGGATAACTTTCATTTTAAATACACATTAATGTTGTGACTGTTGTGTTGTATTACATTAGTTTTGCATTACTCTGTAAGATGGCTGAGATGCATTGTCACATAATTATAAATTAAGTGAATCAAATCTCTGTCCTAATGAGGAAAAACTGGATATTTTTGTTCAAGAACACAAAAATAAAAGCAACAAGCTCAAAACATATTTAACAGCAAAGGAACAAAAACGTTGTCTATGAAGCTACAAACCTGACTTGTCATTACTGCTTCTGTACCCGTTGACGTTCAAGCTCTGGCAGCTGGCTGGTCTCAACTCAGTATCACGGCAAAGGGTCTAATGCCCACCCTGTGTGTGTCGTGCTTTGCTTCTCATTAGCATGAGATGGGAAAGCATGCTTAAGTTGGAATATGCTCCAGTACAAGTGGAGGTGGCTATTTTGTTTCAAGCTAATTCCAAAGACCATGGGAAAGCATTTAGAGAGACGTCACTGAGACATTTACATGAAAACACACATTATCCACCTAGCATAATTGTTTATATGACAAAGTGACACTGACATTACTTGGTCATTAGCGACTTCTTGGCTTTAAATATTGGCTCCCCCTGCTGGTACTGCAAATTCAGTATGAATGTCCATTTCAAGTACAAATGGTTTACCAGCATGTTTATTACACGCTTTGCCGTGATACAATATTCCAGCTTTAACATCATTCTGGAATATTTGCCATTTTGTGTAAGCATGCTGTCCATGCTAGTGCTTGAAAGAGTTTATATCATGTCAGCGGAAGTGGATAGTTCTTTATGTCCTGGGTGTACTTTGCACCATCGTATTGTTGTCCTTTCATTTAATAATTGGGGCGATCGTGGCTCAAGAGTTGGGAATTCGCCTTGTAATTGGAAGGTTGCCGGTTCGAGCCCCGGCTTGGACAGCTTGGTTGTTGTGTCCTTGGGCAAGACACTTCACCCGTTGCCTACTGGTGGTGGTCAGAAGGCCCGGTGGTGCCAGTGTCCGGCAGCCTCGCCTCCGTCAATGCGCCCCAGGGTGGCTGTGGCTACAATGTAGCTGCCATCACCAGTGTGTGAATGGATGGATGACTGGTTGTGTAAAGCGCTTTGGGGTCCTTAGGGACTTTTAAAGCGCTATATAAATACAGGTCATTTACCATTTAATAAAGCTTTAAGTAATATTCATTACTGCTCAGAAGCTGCAGACAGCTCGTTTCTCCTTAATGCACACGCACTGAAGTCAGCTGATTGCAGAACAAGAAAAAAGACATATGAACCATTCCCCAACTCCAATGACAGGTTCATAAGATTAGTGCAATGGGAAATTTAGTTACATTGTACTTCTTATCTCTTCATAGCCTAAATTTAATGATAATCATTTCACATTTTCCAGTCTTGATGAAAAAGTTCATTTTCGAGTCTGCCACTTCTGTGTGAGAGGTATACAGTTCTCCATTACACGACAGATAACACTGAAAGCTATGAAGAGGGATTCGTTTTCATTTAGCACATTTCAGATGTTTAATGATTTGACCACCAACAAACACATCCAGAGAATTACATGTGAATTTTGTCAGAAGTTGTACATTTATCAGTTCTAAATTGTAAGCTCCAAATAATTCTGCTACTCTGTTACAAATAATTTTTCAGTAGCAGTTCTTGGACCTAACCAATATGTTCTAAGCATTTAAAAAGAGTTAGTTTTCAAATGAAAGGTGACTATTTAAATCCTTTCAGCTTTCCTGTTATTTTTACAAGAGACTGTGTTCTTTATGGACAACAGCTTAAAACTCCATATCAGTATATGAACCATATGCATAGTGAAGTTGTCAGTGGGGTTTGGAGTGCGGTTGTTGGGGTGGTGATGCTTGTGGTTGGAGGAAGGATTGCAGAGAACAGATGAAATTTGTACATACACTACCTCTGTTCACCTTTGGGCAGCGGTGTCCAGTGGTGTACACATTAAGTTAATTGATCATTCTAAACTGGCCTTGGATGTGAGACAGATAAAGTGCTTTAAGTGCATAGAATAAAGTGCTGTAGTAATATAGAGTGTGGCTCTGTGGTGTGATAGTTTTCTTTATGTGCAAAAGATTTCAAGACATAATCTAGGGGGCCCAAAACCAATGTACTCTGAGTGCCAGTCCCAAACCCAGACACATGGGAAGGCATCTGGTATAAAATCAGTGCCACAGCAAACATTCATCTGCAGGGTGATGTGCTGAGAAAAATCCAAAAGAAGCTTATAAATGTATGATTGAATGTGACATGTGGTCCGAATTTGGTCTGAGCAGTCACTGAGACTAAAGTTTGCTATATAATGTCGATTCTATTTCCTCATTAACTTGCTCTATAATTTGGGGGTTGGGGAATCTTTTCTTCTGTAAAACAGCCTAGCCAAGGTTCTCAAAGTGTGACCCGATAAGCTCCTTTTCCATTACTACCTACTCAGATCGACTTGCCATGGTTCACCATGGTTTTCAGGGTTTTTCCATTACGTCATACCACCTGGTACCACGTATTAAAAAGTACCTGCTCGGCCGGGGTTCCGAATATGTGAACCAAATTTTTTGAAACCCAGAAACGGGGAAAATGGCCACAAAAAACAACGCCATGATCCCCGAGTCTGACGAGAAGCCACAGACCGAGCAGCAGGTATATTCTTGCCTTGATGTCCACCTTTGTTGCAGCGTTCATGTCGCATATTAATTACATCATGGGATGCTCGGACGCAGACCAAACCTTTGTAACAATGAAAAATAGATTTCAATAAACAGCCACCTCACTAATGGGTCAAAAACGAAAACCTATTCAAAACTTATAACGTAGGGGTGTCAAATGTTTAAGATCTTGGTGTCTTCCGTTGATCCAATTCAGGCTTGGGGGTGGGCTGGAGCCTGTCCCAGCTGCCATAGTGTGAGAGGCACAGTACACCCTGGACACATCACTGGATTATCACACAGGGACAGACAGCTATTCAAATTCACATGCCACACTTATGGCTAATTAAAATCACCAATTAAGCCAACCCAAGCAACTGCATGTGGACACTTAAAAAACTTTCACACATACAGCTTTTGAAATTGAGCAGTTGCAGCATTATTATTGTTAGTTATTTTTGTAACATCTGGTCGAAATATAAAATCACTCTTCACCAGTGTTGGGTAAGTTACTTTAAAATAGTAACTTAGTTACATTACTAGTTACTTCTCTCAAAAGTAACTCAGTTACTTCAAGTTACTCGTTACTTTCAAAGTAACTAGTTACTAGGGAAAGTAACTTTGGTTTTACTCAGAATTCTCTTGTTAATGTGTTGCTTCCATAACTTTGCCAGTCTTCTAGCTTGCTTACTTGCACTGTGCCACCTACCAATAGAAAGGAAAAGATAATGTGCATATTTCCACGACAGAAATCCCACGCCTGGACCGTCATTGACTGCTGCCATGATTCTAGCCTACGTCACAGCGTCATGTGCGCCTTTTACATCCAACACAAAAACTGCAGTCGTGGTGCTTTCGATTATACTCAGAACTCGGAAATTCTGCCTTCTGAATAGGAAGATGTAGGTAACACCAGACTGCAGATGAGCTGCATACAGGGCTGGACTGGGACAGAAAATTGGCCCGGGCATTTTGACTAGATGGCCCTATAATGGCCCACCATTATAGGAAAAATCATAAAGCCTTTGAATGAAAATAAACACTGTTGTGACAGTGATGTACACTGTTTTGATGGTATATATGCATCAATCTATCAATCGTTTGTTGTAAGATTCAGATAATTATTTAATAAAAGCTAGATATTTTAAATGAGAATAAGAAAGAAAAGTATTTATTTGTGCCCCCCTCTCCCTGTTAATGCCCTACATGCCCCCCTGGCAACACTTTGCTAGATCCGCACCTGCACAGTTACCAGCTGTCAGCTGCTTAGAAAAGGATCCTGGTGTTATTTGTCTCTCAGAAACAGTTGATAACTTCCCTTCAACTCATTCATGTCACCTAAAAGGTAAACCTGTTTCTCCATCACAGCTCTGATGGTTCAGTAAGGACATCTCCTGGTT